AACCCCAGCACCTGGGAGGCAGGGGCAGGTGGATCTCTGTGAGTTCAAGGCCAGCCTGGTCTATGGAGTGAGTTCCAGGTCAGCCAGAGCTGTACAGGGACCTCCTTCCCAGAATCAGTACGAAAGAATATGCCACATTACACATGCACACTGAAGTTTGTAGATCAGGGCTTGCATACTGCAGAGTTCACCATATCTGGAAACACAGCCCTGAGACTCCTCAGTCTGAAGCCATCTGGGCATGGCTATTTTGAGTGTGTACAGGTGGCTTTCTCAAGTCCTTGGGTTCAGGGACATTTCCTTCTCTAAACACTTCAGATGCATCTTCTGCCCAGGCCTGTGTCATAGCAAACAGAGTAGGGGCCTCACTGATTCTCAAAGCCACATGTACCCCCAGACAGCTGTGGATCATCTAAGGGGTGGGGGGGTGTTGGATTGGCTTCCTGAGGAAGGTTGAGTCTTCATGGACGGAATCAGACCTTCCTCCTGAGGGATTAGAGCAAGGGTGGCTTCCCCTGTCAGTTGGTCTTGGATGACTTGTGGAATTTGGAGCCATTGCTGAGCTTACACTTCCCAATCAGGTACTGGAGTTGGAGCTGGCAGTGACGAGGAACAGAACGTAAAGATTATCTTCCCTTTGGGTAGTGCAGGTGGAGAGATAAGAATTTTGTTGGAGTGTTGATCTGACTTGCACTGTTGTTTTTGAACATAGGTTGCTCCCTGAGTCACTGGTAAGACTGAGACAGACAGGAGGACAAGTGCTCCCTCCCTAAGGGTATTTGACTATTAAGACTGTTAATGTCATTATATACGCACCATTCAGGGTTTACTTTTTCATATAAACTAAGCTACTGAGGTCATCCTTGTTGTACCCTTAGAGGAATATCTGTCAGAATCTTCCCTTGTGCCTAGCTGCTTTGATCGAGGGACTGCTGATGAAGTAGGCTCCTCCTATCTCACCTCCGTTATTCTGAGTTAGGGTCTTAGGGTAAGTACAGGCTAATCTTCAACTTGTAGCAATCCTGACCCATCTGCCTCTGTCTCCCGAGTATTGATATTACCAGGTATGTGCTACTGTGGCTGGCTGGAGCAGCTTTTCCATGCATAGGCTGTCATTCCCAGCTGCTTTTTTGTACCCTGAAGAAATTACAAGCCAGCCACAAGGAAGGCTGCTGCTGAAGCCACAGAGCTCTGGTTCAGGAGGGCTTCTGCCAGCCAAGACCATTGGTGCAATGTGCATTGTGTTTGGAAGATTCTGCTCCAGGCGAGACAATCCCAGATGGATTCTGGATGCTGCTTCCCACCTTGCAGCTATTCTCACTCAGGATAGGAGGGGACGGCACTCCCCCAGCTCTTCACCTGGAAGTCTACAATTCCTCTCACGTGAAGCCTGTGGTTAGTTCCAGTAATATGGAAGGGCCCACTGGTGGAACTATAATCGGTGTGTGAGCTTGCTGTGCTTTTCTTCTGCCTGTATAAGCAGACTGTTTCCCACTGCTTTGGGGGCTGGTCTGGGAGTCTTTCTCCTGCAGGCCCCCATCACATTCCAACATTCGGCCCAGTAAAGACTTCTTTCAAATGATCTTGTATTGGCTGGGCTGCTTGCACCTATCCACCCAAAGGTAGCAAGAAGGCAGTTGTGGGATTTCAGAGGGTGGCCTGAAGCAGGCATTATAGAAAGCTGGGGCTACTGAAGGTGAGAAGATAGGAAAGCTGAAAATCACACTTCCCCTGAGAGCTGTCCAGGGTTAAAAGCTGATCATCTCAACACCTGATAGTCAGGAGTGCACATCAGCCAAATACCAGTCTGCTGCCAGTCAAAGCTCAGAACACCTACATCAAAAGTCTGTGGCTTTGAAAGCTTAGGGCCACAGCCTCTGGTTCTAGGAGCCTAGAGCTGTAAGCTAGTGGTTTTGCAAGCCCAGCCTGTAAATCTCAGGCACTCAGGATCTCATTATGGCAAGGCGGCCAGCTATGTCCCTTTGGTTTACTGCCTTGCTGTGAGGTATAGCATTTGCACCATTCTTCATCCTAATTTTGGAATCCAGGTAGACACATTTGTGCCCATGAGCATACCTGTGAAGACAGCTGGGAGGAAGCATTACTCTGCAGCGAGGCTTCAGGTTGCTGCATTTTGTTGCTAGGTTCTTATTTGCCAAGGTCTTCCCTCTGTCTGTGCTGTTGCATGACTTCTAGGAGAACACACACACACACACACACACACACACACACACACACACAGATAGGGCCCTAACAACAGATAGAAGGAGTTATTTTATGTAAGCCTATCTTTGTGACCAGTGAATTTATTAGAGTTACTTAGAGGAACATGGGTGACTTAGAGGCAGCTGCACCATGGAAGAGCATGTTCCACTTTGCACATCTGGAGTTCCCTGCAGCTTGTAGGCATCAAGGCCATGGAAATGTCACCTACCTCCAGCAACTATTCACTACTTATGTACTTTGGGGAAGGAGCCTTACGAGGCTTAAACTCGCTTGTAGCTTGTGAGTTCCCCCAGCTTCCCACCTCCCCTCCTTAAGGAATATTTCAATCTAGAGAAAACCTGAAATACATGGTCAAGCAGGCACTATACATCGCATAGGTTGACTTATGCTAGAGCTCAGTGCTAAAATTTACTACGTAAATGACATGACAGCTTGGTAAGTCCTATTTTTGGTAATTTGTAGTAGGTAAGCCAAGAGCATGTTGCTGTTCCTAAGACATTTTTAGAGGACCTAAAAGTGAGTTTCTGTTTTGATGCTTTTTGAGAACTTGAGTGAATTTCTCTTGGCAAGAGGGAAAAAGATCTGCTGGTGTCTTTGACAAGTGGTCTCAGGGGAACCGCCCGCCATCTGCGGGAAGACTCTTCAGTGCCCTACTTAGGATGTTTGGATTGGCTGCGTTTTCATAGAGAGCATCCTTAAGAGGAGGCTGGCAGAGAATACAAAGCATTGGGGACAGATGTAAAACCACAGAGGAGCAGGCTCAGAGAGCATCGGTGGTCATTAGTAGAGGACTTTCCTTGGGTGGCATCATGCATCTTCCAGACACTCCCTGAAAAATATTGCAATCTTCATGCAAGGAGTCATATGCTAGGGGCTCATGTTAGCTTTTTTCCTGTGGCCCACCATGTCCCTCTACCATATTATCCATTGGTAAAAAATAGCATAGTAGTATAACCTTTGGCATGGAAGGAATACTGACTCATTTTCACAGGTCCTAATCTTAGGGTAGAGGCTGGAGCATGTGCGGTTTCTATATTTGTCATTATCAACTCAAACTAACTTATATCAAGAGCCTCCTGTATGCAGGCTTGTTAAGGACATCAGTTGCCTCAGAGACCATCCCTCACCTTTGAGGAAGAGTGCTCCTATCCCATTTTATATATAAGGAAACTGAAGGAACTTGTCTGGGCTTTGTCCCAGATTCCATAGGGTGGTGCTTGCATCTCTGGCCAGGCTATCCTTCTCTTGTCCTCAGAGAATGATTTGATCTTTTGTTCCCAATGCATTTGCTTTGCATGAATTTTACCTTTTTGAACTGCTGCATTTGAGTTGTATTTCTCTCAGTTATTGAGTTGTTGGTACTCAAATAGCTCTGCTTTGGGAAGATAGGAAGGGTTAGGGTGTTGGTAACTTAGTCCTATGGACACTGTGAACACCTGGGGTGTGTGTATGTGTGGGGTATGTGTATGTTTATCTGTGGAGTATGTGCATATGTATGTATGTACATATCTGTGGGTTATGTGTATGTGTTGCATGAGTGTCCATTGTGGGTTCTTCCTCAATTGCTTTCTAGTTTGTGAGGCACGCTTTCTTGCTGAACTGGGAGCTTACCTCTTGGGCTAGTCCAGCCTGGAGCCCTCTTTTTTTTTTTTTAATTTTTTAATTAAAATTAGAAACAAGCTTGTTTTACAGTCAACGCCAGTTCCTTCTCCCTCCCCTCTTCCCCTCCTCCCCTGCCCTACTGGCCAGCCTCCAGTCCCATCCCCTTTCTTCTCCCCAGGGAGGGTGAGGCCTTCCATGGAGAATCTTCAAAGTCTGTCAGATCATTTGGAACAGAGCCTAGGCCCTCCCCCATGTGTCTAGGCTGAGGGAGTATCCCTCTATGTGGAATGGGCTCCCAAATACCATATACTAGGGATAAATACTTATCAGCAGCCCCATAGACTGCTCAGTCCCCCTAACACACACACACTCATTCAGGGGGTTTGGGTTTCCCAGCTATCAGACTGGAGTCCATGAGCTTCCCCTTGTTCAGGTCAGCAATTTCTGTGGGTTTCTCCAGCCTGGTCTTGACCCCTTTGCTCATCACTACTCCTCCTCTGCAACTGGATTCCAAGAGTTTGGCTCATTGTTTAGCTGTGGGTGTCTGCTTCTGCTTCCATCAGCTACTGGATGAGGGCTCTAGGCTGGCATATAATAATCAATCTCATTATTAGGGAAGGGTATTTAAGGTAGCCTCTCCATTACTGCTTAGATTGTTAGTTGGGGTCATCCTAGTATAGCTCTGGACCTTTCTCTAATGCCAGATTTCTCTTTAAATCTAATGGCTCCCTCTATTATGGTATCTCTTTTCTTGCTCTCCTCTATTCTTTCTCTGACTCAATCTTCCTGTCCCCTCATGCCCACCTGCAGCCCTCTTGCTCCAGGGATTCCCTGTCTGGCTTCTGAGTGCTGAAATTTCAGGAGGGCCATTATACTCATCTGGCATTTGACCTTTCCCTTGCCGCTGAGGGTGAGTGCTGGCAATTCAAACCCCAGTCTCCATGCTTGCACAACAAGTTCTATACCCCGAGGTCTCCCTCTAGCCCCCAGCTTCTGGGACCTTAACCAAGTCTTCTGGGTACAGCTGCAGCATCTGTCTGGAGGTGGTAGCAAGCTTTGTCTGCAGATGTCAGGAAGTGAACTTGTCTCAGCACAAGCTGCTTCATCTGTGTGGAGACTTGGCTTCATCAGCATCTCTCACAGGCATCACAAATATGCTTCTCCTCCTCCAGGATGGGAAAGAGGTTGAAGAAGACCCGAAAGTATGACATCATCACCACTCCTGCTGAGCGTGTGGAGATGGCCCCACTGAACGAGGAGGACGATGAGGACGAGGACGCCACGGTATTTGACATCAAGTATAGGTGTGTGCTGGGGATAGAGGCTTCCTCCCAGGCTGTGTCTGGTAGGATGGTTCAGCCACAGTGTCCTTGTGCTTTCATTAAGTGTTAGGCTTTGAGATGCTCTTATTGTGGTGGGACCTGTTCCCATCACTGCCTTAGTAACAGTACCCCAGAGTCCAGAAGAGCAGGACTGGTAGGTTAAAAACAGGTCTGCACTATCATGGTTGCTTCCTGACATATTAGCTTCAGAAACAGAGTTTGTGTGTGTGTGTGTGTGTGTGTGTGTGTGTGTGTGTGTGTGTGTGTGTGTGTTTGTGTATGAGAGAGAGGGGGGGCATTTTCTCTCTGTCTACCCAGCTGTTCTAGAACTTGCTTTGTAGACCAGGATGGCCTCGAACTTAAGGATCCTCCTGCCACTGCCTCCCAAGTGCTGGGATTAAAGGGGTGAGCCACCACACCTGGTACATTTAAATTTTATAAGGAACAGTCACACATTGAAACTGATTCTATATATCAGAGTAGGAAGAAACCCATGACCTGTATTTTGTCAGGGAGAGAGTGACTAGTAACATTCAGTTACACTACAAAATAATACGTGTGTAGCATTATTAATGACTGTACTGGTTTTATTGCTAAGTCACTTACTCATCTCAGTCAGTACATAGACACAGAAAAGAAAATCATGTCATTTTAAAAGGTATCCCCACTTATATATTTCAAAAGGTGTGTAGAGGTGTGTGTGCATGTGTACACGTGTCATAGTACATATATGTGGAGGTCAGAGGACCACGTTGCTCTCTCCTTATACCTGAGTTTATGGTTAAACTCAGGTCACCAGGCTTGCATAGCAGGCTTCTACCAGGCCATCTTTCCAGACTTCACTTGTATTTTTTTTTGTTATGTTTTTATTTTTTGTTTGAGACAGAGTCACATAACCTGGGCTGTCCTGGAACTTGCTGTGTAAAACTCATGGCGGCTCTCTCGCTTCCATCTCCAGAGTGTTGGGATTACCGATGTGTGTCACCATACGGTGCAGTGTGCTTCCTGCCTTTCATTATTATTCACACTAGAAAGGGTCTGAGTCCTCCCGCAGGCCTGTGACACATTGTGCAATGTGGAACCTTAATGGAGTGGATTATGAATACTACTGATGCACGTATGATAGGCATGTGTGTATGTATGTATGCCTGCACACAGGCACATGCCACTGAATGTATTTGGAGCTAGAGAACAACTTTTTGGAGTTGATTCCCTCCTTGTGTTATGTGGATTCATGAACCATCTTGCCAGCCTTTGTACTTTTTTTTTTTTCTTCTTGATTCAGAGCCACTGTTAGAATCTTATTCATATTAGGTGTGATCCTTAGTATTGACTGTTAGCTTGAAAGGCTCCAGCATCACCATGGGGACAGATCTCTTGCCAAGTCTGTGAGGGAGTTTCTAGACTGAGAAGAAGACCTGTCTTAAATGTGATCAGCACATTTATCCCATGGGTTGGGGTCCTGGATTGGATGAAAAGGAGGAGCTGAGCTGAGTACCAGCATCCACCTCTCTGCTTTCTGACTGTGAATGCCATGTGGCCAGCTGTCTCATGCTCCTGCTGCCATGCTGTCTCTGCCCTGCTGGCCTGTACCCTCAAACCGTGAATCAAACCAGCTCTCTTCCTTTAGTTGTTGTCCTAGTTAGGGTCTCTATTGCTCTGCTAACACATCGATCAAAAACAACCTGGGGAGGAAAGGGTTTATTTCATATTGTAGCATATAGTTCCTTAGCTGAGGAAGTCAGGGCAGGGACTGAAGCAGAGGCCATGGAGGGGTGCTGCTCACTGCCTTGCTCCTCATGACTTGCTTAGTCTGCTTTCTTATAGAACCCAGGACACCAGCCCAGGGGTAGCACCACCCACAGCAAGCTGGGTCCTCCCATATCAATCATCAATGATCATTCAAGGGGATGTACTAAAGGCTGGTCTGGTGTGAGAATCCCCCTTCCCAGATGACTCTAGCTTGTGTTAAAGCGATGTAAGGCACAATTATTTTTGCTAAGTATTTTCTCATTATCACAACTAAGAGAAAAGTAACTAATACATTGGGTGACTGAACTGATTCTGTGAGAGTCATGAGAGAATGGTCTGGGTTTTTTCTATTTTCACATGTCTCTAAGTAAGAAAAGTCCCTAATCTGGACATGGCTATAGTTCCAACACTCAGGAGACTGAAGCAGGAGATTTTGAGTTCAGGGCTGGCCTGATACACACACACACACACACACACACACACACACACACACACACACACACACACACACACACACACACACACTTCAAATAACTGGTCAGGGGACTTAAACAAGGTATTATAGTATCTGTTTAGAAATTCTATCTAGATTGGGAGATGGGGAAGGGATCTATTCTTTGAGGGCCTGGATGTCAGTGTTACTATAGCCCAAAATACAGTCACACTTGGTCTCAGTTCTTCAAACTGGACCGAGTTGCCTTTCTGGGCTGATTGTCAGTTCTAGATTGGAGTGGCTGCTATCTCTGAAACTCATCAAACACTGATAAAACTGAACCATTTGGTAGGTACTCGGGTAGGAGAAATACTTTTGCTTTTTTTTGAAAGTCCAAGTTCCCCCATGGCCTGATGCAAGAGTGAGAATCAAGGATGAGAGGAAACTGTACTGCATACTGGCATTTTACAGGCACACCCTTTTTGGGACCTGGTGATGTCTGATACAGGATCTGGGTTTGCTTCCCCCAGCCTCTTGGTGTGCTTTTTCTATTCTAGGCAGAAACTCAGAACCCAGCAAATCCATTGTATTAATTCTGTACTCTAAGCTGTTGGCCATTGTGAGCCCTAGTCTCCATGCTGAGTATGTGCTCCTGGGCAGTCTGGCTCCCTCTGTTGTCACTTTGGAAATAGCCTCAAAAACAGGTTCCTCTATAAACAGTGGCACTACATTTGTAACCTTACCTCTGATAGCCTTATTTTATTTAAAAATTATTTGTGTATGTCCACGTCCATGCATGTGTGCACACTAGCAAGAATGCCCACATGCTGCGGGATGTGCGTGGAGGGGGTGTGGCACTTTGCAGGAGTTCGTTCTCTCATTCTACCATGTGGGTCTGTTTGGTTTGAATGAGAATGGCCCTCGTAGGCTCATGTGTGTGAAGACTTAGTCCTCAGTGGATGGAACTGTTTGGGAAGGATGAGGAGGTGTGGCCTTGCTGGAGGAGGTGTGTGTGTGTGTGTGAGCTTTTAGGTTTCAGAAGTTTATACCAGTCAGCTCTCTATCTGCCTTGTGCTTGTGGCCTTTAAAAGGGTATACATTCAATATTGGACCACAGAGTGAGGTTTGCTGTTGGGTTGCTACATGGAGTTTTCCTCTATCTCTGTGTGTTGCTTCTGAATTTTATTCCTTTCTCTAGCTCTCTTGAGCAGGTCATACCTTTTCCTTTGACCCATTGTGATAGTGAATCTATATTCATTAGATTTCTAATATACAGTCAGATCAGTATTGGGAAGTTAAGAGAGCTTGGTCATGTGTTACCTTTCTATGTGCATTGTACTGTATGTACAAGGCTTCCTTTCCCTAGGGAATGGTGATTGGCCTGTTGGTTTTTTTGTTTTGTTTTTACTCTTTTTGCCAGGCTCTGGTAAAAGTTATGCTGGCCTCATAACTTTTAGGGTAGCATGTTTCCTTATTTTCCTTCTCTGGACTAGTTTGAATCAGATTGGAACTGTTTGTTTCCTAAGTGTTTAGTAGAGCATACTAAAAACTGGCTGCACCTGAGGCAGTCTGCATGAAACTTTTAGGATCAGTAACATCCAGTTCCGTGAATAGTTCCAAGAATATTCAGTCTTTATTTTTTTCTTGGGTCAGTTTTAATCAAAAGTAGTTTTGGGGCATTTTGTTCATTTCCATTTACAAACCTGTTTTTGTGTGTTGTTCCCAACATTCTCCTCCTTTAAATTTGTAAATGTTTGTCATATGAGTAGCTATGGCCTTTCTTTGCTTTTTTGAAAGATAGATTCTCTGTGTAGTTCCTGGCTGGCCTTGACTTTGCAGAGATCTGCCTGCTTCTGCCTCTCAAATGCTGGGGTTAAATGTGTGTGCCACCATGCCTGGCTCTTTTGCATTATTATTTAAAATTTAATGTTATTTTCTCATTTTTCCCCTGGCTCGGTCTTGCAGGATATACATTTCATTTTTATCACTCTACATGTAGACTCATCCTAGGGCTTTTTAGATGCCCTCTGTGACTATTATCAGTTTTCGGTTGATATCTGTATCCTGTCTGTCTTAGTCAGGGTTTCTATTGCTGTGAAAAAACACCATGACCAAAAAGCAAGTTGGGGAGGACAGGGTTTACTTGGCTTACACTTCAGCATTGCTGTTCATCACTGCAGGAAGTCAGGACAGGATCCCAGAGGCAGGAGCTGATGCAGAGGGCATGTCTTGCTCAGCCCACCTTCTTATAGAACCCTGGACCAGCAAGCAGCCCAGGGATGGCACCACCTGCCATGGGCTGGGCCCTCCCCCATTGACCACCAAATGAGAAAATGCCTCACAGCTGGATCTCACAGAGGCATTTCCTCAGCTGAGGCTCCTTCCTCATGACTCTAGCTTGTGTCAGGTTGACACACAAAACCAGCCAGTACACCATCCCTCAGCCTTCTTTGAGCACATTCTATTTTTCCACTGAGTGTATAACCCATTCAGTCATTGTCAAACTTCCCAGATGGAATCGGCATTTTTTCTGTGGCAGCCTGTACTGTAGACATTCAGGACTATTGCCAGCCCCCCCAGACCCCCCATCCTGAAGAACCGAATGATTTCAGGGAGCTCCCATGTAAGCTCCTGCTGTTTGTGGTTGAAGTGGAATGAGGATGTGAATGAACTTGGGGATGAGTCAGTCAGGCACAAAGGGTGCCAGTCCAGAAAAGACTGACCCAGCGCTGGGAGGCTAAGTAGCTTTTCCTAATGTGCAGGTTTATAGGAACTATGGGTGAGAAGTGGGGGACATGAATCCACTGTCATCTCACCACTTAGTAGTAGCCATTAGGGAGTGTGTGAGCACACAACTGTGGGTTTTTCTTTTTCTTTTGAAACAGGCCCATGTTACAAAGGCTGATTTGGGGGCACTTTCCCCCCTGAATGGCACATTTGTGAACAGCTTTCTCATGTCAATAAATATGAAAGAATGAAGGTTTTTAAGGTTACTTTCCTGTTTCATGTCGTGTTTTTAAGGACTTTTCTACACACCTATTTGAAGAGACTTTTTCCTGTCCACCAAATGTTTCTGGTTCTCTCCAGGAAGCACACTCCTTGAAACTGGATGTGGATGAATCATGGCTTTGGGTTATTTTATGATGGAGTGGAGAGGGACATCATGTGTTTGGTACCAGGGTAGTGAGGTGGGTCGGTCGGATGCCTCTTACTTTCGGATCACATTTCATGACCTGGAGCCCATGTGGATCAGCCAGGTTCATTTCCCCCAAGTTTCTCGTCATATAGAGAAGAGGTCACAGGCTAGGGAGGCTTCTGTGCAGCACCTCCCACCCAGTGCTGGGTATCAAACCTAGGATGCTCATGCATGCTAGCCAAGCACTCTACCACTGAGCTACAGCCCCAGCTCAGCAGCCTTCTTTGTATGTGGAGGAAAGAGCCCTGGAGTTTTGGAATGGTTGCATATTCCAGGAGGTGTTTGGATTTCACTTCTGTTTTGTGCTTGACCGGCCTGGTGCACAATTGCAGTCAGTGTTTTGCATCTCTGCAAATCCCTTGTTTTTTAGGGGAGACTTTTGTTACACCTCCTAGGCATCCCTGGAGGACATCCCTGGTCGTATGGCAAGCAGCCTAGAAGCTGTGTTGAGTGCAGCCCAAGGTACCCAGCTGCTGGGAAAACCCACCCAAGGTACCAGGCTGCTGCTGTCCCCACTAGCCCTGCCTCTTGCTGAGATGGGCTTTCCTATGTGTGGAAACAGTGTGTCTCCTCCAGGGTGTGGACCAGCAGGCTTGCTTTCCCCTCCCCACTTTGTGGCTAGAGTTTCCTGCAGGAATGTTAGACACCAGTGGCATGACCTCGGCATAGGAGACTGTGCCTGCTCTATTCTCTAGAGCCCTCGGACCCCTGGAGAGCTGAAGTGGAAACAGAGCTGACTGCCCCCCCACCCCACCCCATCTAAGGTTGAGCCCACCCCACCCCATCTAAGGTTGAGGTCTGGACTCAGTGCATCTTAAATGAAGGTGTTAATACCTTCCCAGAGGCAATGTCTTATGGCTGCTTTTCCTTCATAAGGAGCTTGGGGATGGTTGATTCTGGAGGTGCCTCTGCCCGCCTCATGTCCTCAGGGTTTAGCGCTGTGAAAGGAGTTGATGATGAGAGCTGGGTTCCCCTTTGCACTGCAGCTCTCCTGTGCCTACATGTGGCTGATTATTCCTACAGGTATGGGGCTTGGTTGTAAGCAGCTCTTAGGGTGGAAGGTACAAGACCTGCCAGAGGTTCCATGCAGATACTTCTGGGACCTTTGTGAGATGGTGGGAGAGGGTCATCTGGCAATTGGACTTGAGCACCCAGGCAGGTGACAGTACCACATGTTGGTTGTTCAGTGTATCCCTGTGCTGTCCCTATCTACCAGCTCTGGCTGGGGCCAGCAAGCCACCATTGCTTTGTTGTGATGTCATTGTGGAGATCGGTCTGTACACTGGCCTGATTCTGAAACCATCCCCGGATCTTGAATTCTGTTACACCTTTGTCTGTCATGGGTGATTGTGCAAGGTCCAATGCTGATGGAGGAAGCAGCTTTAATGGGTCTGTTTCCCCTCTTCATAGCCCCTTTGACACAGCGTGTAAGCGTTCATGTGTCCCTGCTATTGTCCTCCCTGCTTTAGAGCTGCAGTTTGGAGATGAGCAGGCTCATGCATGGACCCTGCCTGTTCACATGCTTACGCAGGTCCAGCTCCTCAAACTGTGGCCAAACCCATGTTGCACTCATCGGGTCTATGGTCTATGTTACTGTAACAAAGTACCCAAGACAACAACTTGAAGGTTTCTTTTGGCTCAGAGTTGGAAGTTTCAGTCCATGGTTTGCCCTGTGGGTGTGGTAGCACGAAACCTCTCACCACACGTAGGAGCCAGGGAACAAGAGGGAGGGAAAGATTGGAATCCCATAATTCCTGTGTGTCTCTAGTGACCTGGAGGCCTCCCATTGGGCCTCACCCCTGAAGGTTCTGCTGCCTTTCAACAGTGCCGATCCTTCTAACTCAGCGGGCTGAGGGGAGACATTGTGGATCCCAGACTGTAACAATAGTTAACAGGCGAGTATGGGTTCTACTTGTTCTGTGTGCACCCAGGTCTCACTGTGAAGTCCAAGGCTTTTCTTAAACTCCTTGCCTCTGTCACCTAGCTTCTGGGATTATAGACCGGTGCCAACATGCATGCCCAGTTCCAATCTCTACATTTCCATGTTTGAAAAAGAATCAAAAGGAAGAACAATATTTCAGGATGCATAACAGTCCAATGTAATTCAGATTTCAGAGCCCATAAAGTTTTATCGGAACACAGCCACCACCAGGCATTCTGTACTGTCATGACAACGGGGTTCATAGTTGACAAGATCTACACGCTTTAAAATAGTTACTCTTGGGTAAATTTTGAAGCAATGCTTTGTTGACACTTGGCCTGAACACCTGTAGGAGGTCTAGGAGGAGGGATTTAAGGAGGAAACAGCTTGTGTTCTAAGGGGTGTGGGGGCTGTGTGTGGAGGGAGGGAGTTTCGTGTGAGAGCTGAAGGGCAGAGTTAATAGGAGAATGGAACATGCCTTTCAGACAGCCCATTAAAAAGCCCCACGGTTAAGGAACACGTTAAGGGCTGTTGAGGACAATGATGACAACAATGATGAAGTTAACTGCTCAGATGGCAGGAATAGGAAAAGGGATGGAGTGTGACAGTGAGATCCAAGGGGTAGAAACTGCGTGGGAGGAGTCTTGTGGCTTCACTGCTCTTCCCGAGTGATGACTCTCCTTCCTCTTCTTTCAGGTAAAACTGTTTGGGCGTGTCCGCATCCTTCCTGGGGGAAGCTGGTCGGCTGCAGACTGGGCACCATCTCTCACCTGAGGTGTTGAAACCAAAACCAATGTTATTTATGAAACTCTGGCTCCACTCTTGTGTGTCCAGCACCTGCTTGGAATGTCGCCATCAAACTTGTCCCCAGTCTCCAGATGCAAGTCACCTCAGCCACCCTTGGATACCCCTTGGAGATGCTCTTTGCATGCCTTCCTTGAGGGGTTTTCTACCTTCTTAAGAGGCGAAGATGGGAACATTGATTTCAAAGAATCTTTCTAGAACAACTGTACAAGGAGTATCAATAATCTTAAAAAGCAGGGCTGGGGAGATAGCTTAGCTATAACCTGATTACCTTGTAAGCAGGGGACATGAGTTTTGTCTTTAGAGTTCACATTTAAACAAGACAAAACTAGTATGATGTTCCACACCTCTAATCAGCTCTGGGGAGAGAGGTGACCCTGGGTTGACTGCTCAGCCAGCCTAGCCTAATGAGTGAGTTCCATTGAAGACACCTGATCACAGAAATGGTGGATGACTCCAGAGGAACAATGGGCAACGTTCATTTCTGACTCCAACACACATTTACCAACACCACACACACACACATACACACACACACACACACTTCAAAAGCCTGAAGGACCTTCAGATGTACCTAGCAGAATCCTGACATCTTGCTCTCCCAAGTCTTTTCATCATCATCATCAGGTCTGGCTTTTTTTGGCTGTGTGATATTTCAGAGTGGGCATACAAGTTCCCCACCATCCCACACCCTACCCCACTCCACCCCACCCTTTCTAAGAGGTTCAGCATAAATAGGAATGGCTACAACACAAACATATTTCAAATTTTCAGGGATCACCACATGGGTGAGTGTGTGAATGGGTGTGTACACTTGTTTCTCTTCTCATGGGGATGGAGAGTGCCAGGTAGCTTTTGGTGATTTGTGTGTGTGTGTGTGTGTGTGTGTGTGTGTGTGCTGAAAAAAACGTTTCTCTGTCCCACCCTATTTCTGTGTTGTCCATCTTAGTGATATAATACTAAGAAGAAATCTTAGTGGTAATTAAAACGAATGGTAGTTTGGTTGGCTGAAAAAGGAAAAAGGGACACTGTCAGGGACTCTGTTGGAAGTCAGCACAGGCTAGGTTGGACTAGACTGGAGTGTGAGCCATCCTGGGCCCATTGCACCTCACCTGGGAGCTGGGTACCCAGGGATGCCCAGAGGAAATAGGCCCTGGACTAACTGCTCAGGTTAATGGAGGCCTCCCACTTGGCCTTCTTGTATATTGCTGTGGCTGTTATGCTGTGCAAATCTAACAGCAGTGCCTTGGGGACCCTGGGAGTGTAGTAGTCTGGGAAGGTGGCTGTTGTTTTTGCCTTGTTTCCTTCCTAGTGTTTGTGTACTTGTCTGTTTGATGCCCTTCTCTATTGCTTTGGATGAAAACCCCCACGTTGGCCAGCTCCGCCCTACTGCCAGACTCTCTAGTTCCTGACTGGGGTTGTGGCAGTGGGTGGAAAGGGCCACCCTGGCTCCAGAGCCTGGCTGGGCATGGTTGCTGTGCAACCCTAACTCATCGTGAGGTGTGCCATTCTCCTGGGTTCCCGTTACCTCTGCTCCTCAGTTGACTTCTCTCAGCCTTCTGCTCTGTTGGCCAGAGGGGTGGGGCTGGAATCAGAGCAGGTGGCTGTCTGCCCTCACCATGTACTCAAGGACAGTGGTGACTCTAGGAAGCTGGCCACCTCCAAGCTGTGCACCCTGCCCTCTCAGCCTGTGGTTACCACCTCCCATTCAGGGGTTCTAGAACTGCAGCTGTACCATCTAGAAAAGCTGGATTCTCCTGCCTTATGTGTGAACACCACGGATCCGGCTGCCAGTCTCTCATCACTGACTGTGGCAAGAATGGCAGGACAGTGACCTTCCAAATCCTGATGAAACTTCAGCACCACAGACACTTAAATAAAGACCCTTAAAACAAACAAGAATCGTTTGAGTCACAAGTATGTTGGGTTTGGATGTTTTCCGATGGAGTTGGTGAGATGACTCTCTGTGGTTACAAATGTCAACACTGGTTGTGGGTAGGGATGAATTGGGGTTTCTAGGGGTGTGTGTGTCCTGGCGATTTAGAAAAGGCATACGAATGAAACGAAGCTGGGGAAACATGCCATTTCCCTCTCTCTCTCTCTCTCTCTCTCTCTCTCTCTCACACACACACACACACACACACACTTCATTTACTCTTCTTCTAGATGCTGGTTCATGTTTTGAGCCCTCATTGGAGACCCTTAAGGTGCCCAGAGGATGGAGAGCCCATCATGTGCACTCTGCGGTCCTATCCTTGTTTCATCTGAGTTCAGCATGTGATTTTTGTGACAGCCAGGTGTGATGGCACATGCTTGTTATCCCAGGGCGGAAGAGGCTGGCCAGCTTGGGATACAGAGCAAGACTTCATCTCAGCAAACAGAAAGCCACCCCAAAATTTCTACGAATGCCTAGGTTGGATTAACACCTTAGTGGATAGAAGCCAGAGATGATGACTCACTCATGTCCACTTGAATAGCTTGATGGGCGTGGTCTACTTAAGTCTCCTAGGAGTGTGTTAGTCTTTGTGGCCAAGCATTTCCCTGCCAATCTATTTCACTCCTTTTGACATCCAGGGATGAGCCAGCCCAGGGAGGAAGGAGGCACCCTCCTACATCAGCAGTGCCCCTTTTGGTGTAGGACTGGCTGCTAGTACAGCTTGCTCTTTAGTTTTAGGTGTTCCTTGCCCCTTCTGCACAAAGAAAGTCTTTCTTCCCCCACATGCCCAGTTAGAGCTACCTGTTTCTGGTTGCCTGTATTTCCCATCAACAGTGCTGACACTTAGGAAGGAAGGATAGTTTGGGGCACCACTCAAAATGGTACTTTCTAAAGCTGTGACTCTATTTATATGTGCCTTGCCTGCCTTTTTCAGCAGGATGCTGGGTTTGGGGACCTTTTGAATGGAACTGGGAAATAACCAGAAGAGAAATTTCCAGGGGCAGGTGCACTGCTTGCTGGTAAGACTTTTGACTACCAAAGTTATTTTGAGATTGATTGGCTCTTTGGTATTGTTAGCTCTGTGAGAGAGGGTGGGCTATGCTGTGAGCATCAGTAAAGGGGAAGAGGTTGTTCGGTGACTACCCTGTCTGCTCACTCTCCAGAGGCACAGGATCTGCCCCACGAAGCCTGCAAGCTGCTTCCAGTCACAGGTGGGAGCCAGCACTTGCAGTAGAATATTTGTGGCTTTTATTTGAGAATTCAGGAAGCCTTTGGTGAACTGTGAAATACACAGCACACAACTCATGCAATGGCTCTATTTTCTGTTCTTGTTGGGAACCAAATAATGTGACCATTCCAGGCGGTTGCTGTGAACCGCTACCTGCATTGTTGCCTGAGTATTTGGTCAGCAGAGTATCTTTCCTTTTGGTAATTGCCTCAGAATTTTTTTTTGCTATAGTTAAGCTCAGTGAACTAGATTAGCAGCAAGCTCCACCTTTCTGGATATGGGCTCTTTTTGATGAGCTGAACTGATGTGGAAGGGTTACAATGAATTTACATGCATCTGTTAGCAACAGGGATGTCCCACAGCCTCTAAGTGTTTAAATGGTCCATCTGACACAGGTGCTATGAGTGGGTAAGACCATTGTGAGTAACTGATGGTGGGATTCGCAAGAAGTCAGCTGGGTGGTTCTGGGTGTTGTGGGGAAGAGCAAAAGGCAGAGAACTGGTGTGATTCCTGCCTTGCTGCTCATAGTAACAGGAGGCAAGCCTCTCCAACTAGCCATTGTGATCATCTAAAGGTTAAGCCTAGTTTAGCATTGCTCAGTGATGGATATCTCTTTGAAATACACCAAACTACAGAACTTTCTTGGTTAAGACCTTGTAGCTTCTACCTGAAGGTCATTTTCAGCTCCTGGAGATGGAGCCAGTCCTCTCCTGGCTCCTCTACCAGCTTGCAGAAGCTTTAGGAGGTCAGACAGAGTGTTTACAGCTTCCACAGTCCCAGATACCTCACCAGACACAAAGTCATCGAAAAGACCAAGGCCCCACATGTGGGTGATGTTACCAAAGTACAGCACAGGCTCGTGTCTGGAGATGATAGAATAAATGACAGAGACAAGACCAGGTCATTGGGCCTGGGACTATGGGCCTAGAAGTGGCCAGGGAGGCAAGAGGTACAGGAGAAGGCCACATGTCTAGACTCAAAAAAAAAAAAAAAAAAAAAAAAAAAAAAGGGTAGAATTGGAGAGTTGTAGGTGTCTGGGAATGGTCACCATTACCAATAACTTTTGGGGTCCTTCTATGTGCTTGGAGCCTTGGCATAGAATTTCCTGTTCAGTTTCTCAGCTGGCCTTTTAGGTGAGTATAATCTTATTCCTAGAATAGGCTCTGTGATCATTTCCACAGACCAGGGTCTGTTTCAACTATGTTCCCCTCTACAGTTCTCCACTAGGAAACCGGCTTCCTATTTGCCCTGAGTGCCAGCACCACGAAATGGAGTTGGCAGTTGCCTTTGCTTTGTCTGCCTGGGACAGGCAGGCAGTTACCACACAGGGTCAGCGGTTTGTAAGGGGGTAGATCTTGGAGCAGGGGCCTCTTACCCTCTCCAGCATGTTTACTGGGAGGAGAGAGATGGGACACCATAAAAGCTCATATTTGGGTGGCAGAGGATGCCTGAGCTCTGGGGCTAATGGGAATTAAGGTGGAGTACTCCAAGAGGCACCCAACTCAGGTGGTAACCCCCCCACCTCCTATGGGTAAAAAGTTTGCATGCCCAGGAGCCCTTTCCCTTTAAAATTCTTCCTGGATACCTAGGGCCTTGGGAGTACTCTGTGCAGGTGCACCAAGCTGGGTTCAGGGTGTATGCTAGGAACACTTGGCATGTATGTTGTTGGGGAATGCTGCCCTCTAAGCATAGCATGACTGTTACTACGCTCATCAGAGCAGCTCTGACCACCCACACAACATCTGCATAAGACGGGGTCTGTTGATAGGAAGTGTTGGCGAAGTCATTAGACTCTCACCTTAAATTATAGTCATCTTCTTTTGTCTCCTCCTCTCCCTGAGCTGTGTGCAGCTATGTAATCTTGCCCCAGCTGTACATGGTCTAGAATACATAGGAGGTAGGAAGTTAACTGAATGGTACACTCCATCTCAGGTGTGATACTGGGCCGGGCTTTGCACACAGCAAATATTAGAAGTAGCTGGGAGGATGACCTGACTCTGGGGAACCAGTTCCCTTTTATTTTTGATCTCATCATGGTGTTAATAACTAAGCCAGATGAGCAACTTCAGGGGCAGACTCTTGCTTAATGCACATTCAGAGCATCATTTATTTCTAACAGAACTTTATGGTGTGGGCTGACAATGCTCCCACTGAACACATAGTTAATAGAAACTGCAACATGAGAATCCCTCCCTTTTGAGGTTTTTTTTTTTCTTTTTTGGTTAAGGCCCTCGAAAAGATTCCCCAAGCATTATAGATTATTGCTATTGCCCTTGTTTGTCCCTCAGAGGTAGAAGGTAAACCCTTATTGCTGGAGACACTTCAGACCCAGAGGGCATGGACTAGGAGATGTGACCTGAAAATACCAAGCATTCCATTTTCCAAGGAAGGGAAGCAGTCAATAGTCCTACCTAGCTATTACACCTATAAACCACAACAATGACCAGTGTGGCATGATAACCCGAAGGATGCACACATGCCTTGATTGTAACCAAATATTCTGTACTTGGGCTTAAAGGCCCATTTGGAAAGAGGGAAATCATGCCTGGTCCAGGAAACCTAAGCAACAATCTGGGCCTAGAAAAGTCATGGAGTTTGGAGGAGAGTCCATAGCCACCACTAAAACCAGCACAATCCCTATCTTCCAAATAGGTATTCTTATGCCCACCAATAAGTGTAGTTATCACTCCTTATCAAGAGACCGTCTCTTTGCGATAGGCCATTACTGAAAACCACAACTGACCAAAATGCAGATTATGTGGTGCCCAGCTCCAACTTATAGATACACACAACTATTGTACCTAAGGCTCAGGGGTCCTCATGGAATCAGAGATGGAAAGACTGTGAGGGCCAGAGGGTTAGGGTGTTAGTGAACTGTTATCTCCTAGAAATGTCAGAGAAGCTATACTCATGAAGTCTCATCAACATGACTGCCTAAACAAGACTTGAATAAGGACAACAATAGACAATAGTAACACGGAAGGGGAAATCTTATGGGGCCCCAACTCTAGACAAAGAACTACTGGTGAATAAGGAATGCTGCGATTGGGAAGAGCTTCCCAGATTGCGTATTCAATGTTAAGTGGTCAGCCCTGAAATCATATGCATACAAGTAACATTATGTGAACTGAGCAAGTTATATTTATTCACTTAGGTATGTGTACACACACACAAAGTGACCATGAATTTTGAGACAGGTGAGTCCATGGGAGGGGTTGGAGAAGTGGGGAAGTAGTGTAATTTCAAAAAATAAACTCAGTTGCACAATGTACTTTGAGACTATTGTGGGGTATCCACCAGAGAAGACGACTTGGATGGATTTAAACCAATGCAAAATTTTTATTAGCCAGCCAGCAATATGCTGTGTGTTCAGATCCCAGTGTAGCCCTCAGCCTTTCTCAGGGTAAGTTTTAAAGCACAAAACCTACGTCCTGCGTTGACACACTTCTGTTAACAAGAATAGTTAAGCCAGAAGCAGAACTGCAGAAGACAAAAGCAAGGTTAGTCCATTCAGAGACTTTCCCAGAACCATGGACATCTTTGTTCTGGCAGGCATTGCTGCCTACATGATGGGTTCCGTGGCCTGAATGCTTCTTCCACCATGACGTCAACTGTGTTAAGGTCTGGGGCACTTTGTGGTGCAAGCTACGAATGCCCAGAGGCATCTCTGTCATTTTCACTTTACACATATGTGTGCCATGACTTTGAGCTAAGCATGCCTCCAAATGTTTGTGTACT